CTTGCAGCGAACACCAAGGTTTCGTGCGGAGGCATTGGTCTTGTTGCGCTGTTGGATACCGGAGCCACGTGTGGGTCGATAGCCGAGTGGTTGTTTGCAGAGGTTTACGAGCGCGTGAGTATCGATGTTGCTTCAGGCAAGTACAAGTGGGGGGACCGCGATTGCCCAATTTGCGAGATCGGAGACTTCTCTAAAGGTCCTCAGTCGATGATGGGTTTCAAGAAAGGGACCAGCATCGAGACGCGTTTTTTCCGTTGTTTTGGGGGGGTTGCCCCATGTGGTGGCTGTTCGCCTCAAAGTGATGCCAGCGGATTCCGCAGGTTTTCCTGGGATCGTGTTGGGATTCCCGACGCTTGGTCCCAAAGGGCTCCAGCACCGGGTAGTAATAGTAGAGTCCGGGCATCGCTTCGAGAAGCTCGGGATCTCTAAGGGCTCGGGTACTCCTCCCTCAGATCCCCCCCAACATGCGTGCTTATCTCATGGCTATCCCTGGCTGTCTGGGATCCACACAAACAGCACAGCGCACAGAATACCTGCTCCGGGTCTGTTTTCCACTTCCTGCGTTTCTTCTCGATCTGATGTCTTGCATCCAAGTGCTCTGGCCGGATCTTGAGTTCGATATTCGAAGTGTCGATCGGCACAGGCTTCCTCTTCAAGGGGCCTGTGCAAGAATGAGTACGTTTGTAAGAATTACAGCTACACATGATAGCGATTGAAGAAGCATGCCAAAAGAAAGAAAGCACCTGCTGTTGGTTGCTTGGCTTTGGGTTCCACTGCTGGCGGCTTGGCTCTGCTTGCCTTTGACAAGGCTTTGGCCTTTTTGTCTTCTGTGGCTGGCTTGGCTTTGGCAGGTGCAGCGCTTGCCTTCGCACCGTCTTGCTTCTTGTGTTTGGAAATCTTCTTCTGCTTGCTTGATTTGCTTTTCTTCTTTTTCTTGTGGCTGGAGCTGCTGGAATCACTGCTGCTGCTGCTGGCACTGCTCACTGAGGACTCCTGATTGTTGTCGCTGTCCGCGTCCTGTTTCTCGGCGTCTTCTTCTGGGATCACCTCGGGCAACCCCGCTGCCTCTGCGTCCGGCTCGCCTGGGTCAAGCTCCCCTGCAAGAACCCGGTCCAATGCATCCTTCACTTGCGCTGCTGACGGCCTCGCTGTCACGTCCTTAGTGGCCACAGAGGCCGCATGTGACTGACTAGCAATGGTTGCGCAGCTCACAGTCAGCCGAATTAAAGCAGCCTGGGCTGACACAGGGGCTGCTACACTCGCAAAACAAAGTCGAGGAGCTCCACCGTATTTTTGATGCCACTTCCAGAGTTGGGCAACCACGAGGTTTAGAGCCTGCGTCTGAGTCCACTTTCCTCCGTACACCCTGGCCGTCGAGTGCGTCGCCTTTCGCCTGTCTTTTTTCGCCCCCTTCTTCGTGCCAGCTTTTTTTCTCCACTGCTGCTTTCTGCTGGAGTGGGCCTTGTGAAGTAGCCCGCAAATTGGTTCAAGGCCGGTTGCCAATTGAGAATGCAGCCTGGTGCTTGGGGACGAAGATTCTTGATAAGCGCCGGGGTCCGCTCATTAGCTTTGTCGCGGTGCCAGCCTTCTGTCCTGAAGACCAACTCAGCCCGTTTCTCATCGTCAACAGCCACCTTGAGCGCAGCAAACTTGTCAAAGTCTGGTTCCGCAGACAAGACCTGCAGCACTGATGGCAGGCACTTGGAGGACTCTTCTCCGAGCTTGGAGAAGGGGGATTGGGCGTTCGTAGTCTTGTCCGAGAGCAGGCGTTTCACAACAGCCTGCTTTTCCGTGTCCGTGAGGTGTGTAAGGTACGTGGTGACCAGGGTCATCCTTGGCTGGAGTTCAGACAAGTGGCAAAGAATGTACATTCCACACAGGCACTCGCCGAGCGCTATGTTTTCTCTATTCTTCCAAGTATCAAGTAGGACTCAGTGGATGTCCCTCCTTTGGGCTTCTTCTCGGGGGCGACGCCCACAGCAATGCACAAATCACGAGCGAACGTCATGTTCTGGGTGAAGCGACCATGCTGCAGCCAGAAAGACACCAGGCCCTCCTCATCACTGGTCTTCCTGAACAAGATGCCCCTCTGAGCATGTGGCATCGATCCAGGGAGCTCGCAAGGCATACCTGAGTGTGGAGGCCCGTAAGCTTTACAACTTAAGTGCAAGGCTGCAATCGAAACCTAGGTATGCCACGTGACACGCTTTGGTTGGGATTCCTTTCCACGGACTGTTCTCTTCTCCGCTTGGTTTGAAAACCTCTGTCAAACTCATCGTTCGAAATCGGTCCTTGCACTCCTTCAGCTCCAGTTCCGCCTCCGAGAGCAGAAAGAAGTCGTGTGAGCACGCGGTCGTTTTCCACAGGAAGGCAGTCTGAAAGTGGTACCCCAGACACAGGTACACATGCCCAGACTCACAGTCCCTGTAAAGAAATCCTTCTTGGAACAACTCTGTGCACCAGCAGCCGCCAATGTCTTTGAATTCGTGGCCGGCCAAGCATCTGAGGCTGCACAAAGCACCCACTGCACGATAGTCGCCCAAATGGCCAGCAGGCCTGGTGGCATCAAGCCTCGCATTGCCAATCCCAGCAGGGGCCTTCTTTCGACCTGCAAAAGGGGCCAGGCCAGGCGTGTTCAAGGACTGACTTACTGCTGGTGTTGTTTAGAGGCTCCCACCTGCGTCGACAATGGCTTTCAACTCCGTGTAAGTTTCCGAGCTCCTGTGCTTGCTTGGCAAAAACATATCTTTCCCCCTGGAAAAGTTCAGTGACTCCGGATTGCGCAGGTTTTCTTCCACGAAGCTTCTGATCATCACAAGGCTTGCCCAGAAGACATTGCACACACAACTTGTCCAAGACTCATGGGACTCAAGCACAGACTGTGCCTCCAAAGGCTCTTGAATTTCCGCACCATGGCCCAAAGCCGCTAAGGCAATCGTGACCGCCATTTTGACCAAACGAACATCTGCTTTCAGGGCACTTTTTTGCAAAGCTTCTTGGGATCCTAAACGACCATCGTGATTGTAGTACCCCAATTTGCCCATCAGAAACCTTGTACGTTGTGAAGGTAACGGCTTAGTTCCAATATCTGATGTGTTGTCCCAAGTGTGTATCGGTAACGCTTGCAAACAGCCACTGCGCATCCTGCGTCCATAGAAGACGCACATCAAGGTGTCTTGTGCGCGACACTCTGCCTTCGTCAACAACATTCTTGCTAAGGCAGATTCTAACCTGATAAGCATGTTCACACCAAACTTGCACAAACTCTCGATGATGCATTTCAAGAAGAAGGCCCTTGCAATGGCGCCAGTAGCTGCCATAAGCTCTGACTCGCAGGATGATAATGCTATAGTGGTTTGTCTACAACTGTAGCTGAACATCAAGTTGCCTTTTGTGGCCACATGAAATGCTGTGTCTATCACTCACCCCAGCCCAGTCCAATCGGAGCTTGCCTTCTTCCATGGAAGGCCTGGTCTCCACCAATCGCTCGTTCAGAAAAGATTTACCTGGGTACGACCAATGAAGGATGAGGAAGTAGTCACGTGTGGTGTACATGTACTCCGCCAAATACCGCAAGTGTCGAAACTGTCGCTCTGTGGGTGTTGCCATGCCTCGCGCAAGAAGAGAGATGGTATGTTGACAATCGGGTCGTCTGGGACGAACTCAGGTGAACCATCCGGGTCACGTGAAGGATCTGCGCCGCCACAAGATGAGTATGCAGGTGAACCTTCCAAGAAAGTGAGAGCCGTGAGGGTTGGCGATAAGCAGTACTATGTTGCAGAAGATTCCCCAGACGATTGGCTGCATAATGTTTCTCTAGACGAACAATTCCTTGAGCATGACCTTCCTGACTTTAATTCTGAGCATGACTTGAAGCCTTTGTGGGATTGGGGTTCAGAAGAACAAGGGCCACCAGTTTTGGGAGAAGAAGAGATGGAACAAGTGGAGCAACAGTCAGATTTGCGCCGGCTTTTGCAAATGTCCGTCTTGAAGCCTGTGGACTTCGAACCACTCCTCACAAGACCCTGAAGACAAGGTATGTGTACGACTGGAGATACCGTGGTGAATGGAAACGGCGAGCCCGCTTGGTTTGCAAACAACTTAGAATATGGAATCCTTTTCGTCAAGACACATTCTCCTCCGCGACATGTTCCTCCATGATTCGCCTTCTCCCACATATGTATGCGTCGACACCCCAGTGGACTTTGCGATCCTTCAATGTGAAAGATGCGTATTTGACTGTCATGCAGAAGGAAGAGCTTTTCATATACTTAGACAATGTGCCGTATCGAGTCTTGAAGTGCCTTCCAGGCCAGCAGGATGCCGCTGCTCAATGGAACGAACATATCAGTGGAGACTTGAAAAAATGCTCGTTAACCCCAAATCAAGCATGTCCGGTGGTGTGTGCGGAGTTACTTTGCATGTTGATGATGGCTTGGTTGGGGGCTGGAAAGATCGAGTGAATGGTGTGGACACTTTAAGCGAGAAGTATAACCTCACAGTTTCTCCGCCACTCAAGAAAGTGGGTGACCAACTGAGGTTCCTGAAGCGCACGCTTGAAGTAGCACCTCAAGGCTTGAAAGTGATCATCGATCCAAAGTACATGGAGAAGATGATAGGCTTGCTCAACCTGACACATGTCCGAACCCGGAAGGTGCCTTCGACCCGCGAGATCACCACTGCCGATGACTCTGAGCCTCTTTTGGATGCAGATGCTTCAGTGTATCGTGCAGTCCTAGGGTGCATGCTACACGTAGCCCCTGACAGGATCCCTCCTGGCCCATTCTCTTCACGACTTTGGGAAGAAGAAGACAACGAAGGAGGTGTGGCATCTGTGGATCCCTCTGATCTTGGACTCTCTTGGGTAGTTGGAAGGTTCGGCCCTGCTTCACCACTCAGTGGTGGGAGATTTGGAGGTGTAGATGTCAGAGGCAATGGGAGTGGCATAGATTCAATCGGCCGCTCTTTCAACCCTGGAACCAACTGTGTCCCAAGTTGCCCTAGGCCGTACTTCCAAGGTTTCCCTTTCGGATCGTTGAAGACACATATACTCCTAAAGCCGTGGCGCACAGGTACGAGTCGTTCTGCAGGCTCTTTCCAATGAATATCCCTTTGATGAACTTGGGTCTTCCTTTCTTCACACTTGGAGCAGCCAAAGCGAAATAAACCGTCTCCCCGAACTGTGCCAGTTTACTCTGGTACCTAACATGGAAGGCCCTTTCGTAGGCCGTTGTTCCGGCTTGCACGGCGAAGCAGTTGTGCAGGAAAGATGCATGGATGTAAGCCCATGAAGTGAGGTCGCTATCGGTGCAGAGCTCGAACCCTGATCTCTCCTTCACCTGCCACAGCAAAGAGGTCCCTATGTCCCTCAAGGACTGAATGGCCTGCTCGGCCAAACCGTTCGTCTGGTGCTCATAGGGCTGGCTGGGGCTCTTAGTGGTCCGAAGTCCGACTTGGGTTCGCGCTTGGACCACTTTGTCTACCAGAAGGGTCATAGAAGGCTCATTGTCTCCTCTGACGGATACTTCACTGTAGCCAAGATAAGAAATGAAGCTCAACACTTCTCTGGCAGCATACTGCAGGGAACTTCTTTCTTTGCTCGGAAGAGGAATTGCTCGAAGCATTCCCGTTCCCGAACAGACGCAAGCCAAAACAAGCCCTTTCTCGCTCCCTCTCTTCTTCTCTTTCTGCATGAAATGAAGATCACCCCCATCAACATCGGCATAAAAGAAATCTAATGCAATCGTCGGGACTTCACTGCGACTTCGATGTGCCTCGCTTCCTTGAACATGTGAGTCTCTCCGCGAACGTGTGGACACACAAATAGGGCACCATTTTGCAAAAGGGATGTGAGTCAAATTGTGTCGCGCTTCTTCTTCAGGAGTGGGACCTTTGGGAACTTTTTCTTCTACCGGAATCCGTTCCGCACATCGAGCGGCCTCTTGCAAACTAAGGGTCGCTTCTGCTTCTTTTCTCTTCATGTACTTCACCAGCCGGCGAAAGAGAACCGTCTTTGACCCTGTAGCTCCCACACCCAATGCCCTACATGCTCTCTTCAGTTCAGCAGCAGTAGACTCTGATGTCAAAGTGACTCCTTCTACTTCTATGGACTCGGGCATTGGGACCTGAACTTGCACACCAGGGGCCATCGGAACTTCATGTTCACTTTCGAACGCAGGACGATCTGCAGCTTCAGCATCCTGGGGTTCTGGTCCTTCCGCAGGTTGTTCAGCCATTCCTGGAAGGGCAGAACTTGGATCGACCGAAGGGACTTCAACTTGCATAGGTACGGGTGGAAACTCTTGCTTTTCGAAGGACAAACCGACTTGATCAGGCATCCCTTTCGCGCGGTGCATGATCGTAACCATCGAGCTGGAATAAATCACTCCAGGCAGCAACTCGTGTAGGTCTTCGCTTGCATCTAAGGGCTGCTGGAAACCTATAAGCTCCCAGACGTCTCCGACTCGTACAATGGTGGTGCGAAACTTCCACAACTTGGGGGCCATCAGGTCTTCAGGGTACACGAACGTGGTTCCCTCACTCAAGCAGAAAGGATCTCCATTGGGCGCGAAGTGCCAGGCATTTCCATGTTCATCATATCTAGGTTCTGAATGCGTGCTGATTGCCTCGAAGTCAAATCCAAACTTAACGAAGACTCGCCCTTCCGAAACCGGTTGCACCTTTGCTGCTCTTCTCCATGTTGCTCTTCAGAACCCAAGGAAAGCGAAGGTGTGGTACTCGGTGGAATCGCCTGCGGAACAGCATGGACTACCGAAACTTGAGCTTGAATCATCAGACTATTCCTCCGAAATGACACAGGTACTTGTACTTCTTGATACACCAAGCATAGATGCGAGTCTCGATGCTCTAAGGTCCATCCTTTTCGCATGAGCTTGCCCAGGCTAAGCAAAGGAGACTTCACGGAGGAGGCGAAGAACTCTTCTTGGATCACAGCCGGACCCAGATCAAGATTCACGAATCGAAACCCATGATTCTCCATAGCATTGCCCTGTGCATCGCTCATGACGACATGTCCAGGTGATTCCACTACTGCTCCAATGCCCTGCTCCAACCAGCTCTTAGGCATAACACTCACATCGGCACCACTGTCCAAGGTTACTTCTACCAACCCACCTGGCGCGCACTGGCCTTCGGGATCTCCTCCCAATTCGTTCCAGTCGCTCTCGAAGCCGTCAACTCCAAAGACCTTCATGTACTCCACCCAGTCTTCGTCACCTGGCAGAGCATCACTTTGAGACATATCGAAACCCTCACAAGCTTCTTCGGGATAGGCTTCACAATCGCAATCTTCTTCGTCAAGATCATAATACACTGCATGAACCACATTCACCCACCATGTGTCCTCATCCTCTTGAAAGTGATGCTCTCCACTCTCCAAATCGAACTGCTCAAACACGGGCTTACAGCAACTCTCATCAGCGGCGGCAAGATTGAACACTCGCTTCACATTGGCTCGGGAACTCTGAGAGGCTTGGGAGGTTTGGGCTGTTGAGGTCTGTGCCGAAGACGAGGAAGCAGGATGCCCCGAGAGCAAAGAGTTCGATTCACCTGATTCTTCATCCAGCACTCTCGGGACCAATGGCCTCTCTTCCCACAGATCCGGCAAGTGTCGTCTTGTTTGCCACCTCCTTTGCCCCAACCTTTGCCTTGTTCTTTCCCTTTGCCTTTGCCACCCTTCTTGCCTCCATCCTTTCCTTTAGGATGGCCCTTCTTGCCACCACCTTTGCCCCAGTGACCACTCCCACCGAACCCTCCTTGAAACCCTTTGCCTTTAGGCCCCTCCTTTCCTTTGCCTCCCGGTTTTCCTCCTTTGGGGCCTTTTGAGTACTTTCCTTTCCCAAATCCTTTGCCATAAGCCGCATCCACCTCCATGGGCACAGGTCCTTCATTGAGATTTTGGGAAGACGAGGAAGGATTCACCAGAGCTTGGCTCCACTTCTGAGAGGTTCGCTCCCAGCGCAACACAAGCTCGCGCAAGTCGCTATAGGTCGTGGTCTCGTTGATGGACATACTCACATGAGTCTTCACTTGTTGAGGTAAAGTTCGTAGCAGGATGGCTGTTTTCATATCTTCTGACACATCACCTCCCGAAACAACCTGGTACTTCTTGAAGAGTTCCTCCATCTTCAGCAATTGTTCAAGGAGGTTCTGATGGCTCATCACTGGGTACTGGGCAATAGCACCAAGTATCGCCAAGGCACGACCCTTGTTCGAAGGAGCAAGCGTGTTGAGTAAACATCGCCAAGCCTCAAAGCCATTTCCTTCTTCGACTGACCTTACAAGCTGTAAAGGACGATCCTTCACCATGCCTGTCAAAAGAGCATAAAGCTTTTGAGCTTGTTCTTCAGCTTCAGGAGTGATCTCTACCAACGAGGTCTCTTCGTTCAGCTGCATCTCTACTTCATCCATGGCCTTGCTCATGTTACTATCGATAGCCCGAACATACTGTTTGAAAGACCATTTCCACTCACCAAACTGCGCTATTTCGTCCTCACGGGTTTGTGGCCTAAAGATGTCGGGCCTCGGCAACAGTCTTGTCCATGTCCCAGCATCGCTCTTCGGCCTTGCAGCAGCCAAGGACTCTACTGTCTTCTGCAGCGCAACAGTCTGCTCTCTGTTTGCTTGCAACATCTGAGCGAAAGCATCCATCATCTGCAACGACGGCATGGACTGCGCAGTTTGTGACGTAGGCGAAAACGGATTTGGTTGGGGACTTCCGGGGTTTTCTGGTACATGTCCTTGCGCACCCTCCATGAGCGAAACCCTATTTCTCCAACTGCACACACTGCTCGGCACCCTTCAAGCTAAGCCGGTAGTAGAGCACGAGGGCCACAAACGACTTCACACCAGCACAGATGTAATCGGAGATGAAGAGGAAAGCTGATCCGAGTCAGCCCGAAAATGAAGCTGGTATCACAACCTCAGCAAGTTTTCTCACACCAGCAGCGGTTGTAGTGCAGATACTAGAACTGGCCGCCACACCAAGCAGCAGCGGTTGTAACCCTTGAAGTTCAACTGGCCTTGTCGCTGCTCGCCGCAGCACAAGCAAGGAGGGAGGACTATGTGGCACACGAGGCTTCCACACACCCAGGGCCACCTACTCTACTCTACACAAACACTCACACAGGACGAAGTTCAGTCCTCAGCCTCCACCGGACACCCTGAGATCAAGTCAAAGGGTCAGTAGGATTGGGCTCACACACTCACACACAAACACTGTCCTGAGGCTCTGGTTTCTGGCATCGTAGCAAGCAATGTCGCCCCAGGACACAAAGGTCTAGGAACGGTAGTGCTCCGCTACCATGCAACTTTTCTCGAACCTTTAAGCGGCCTCCGGAGTGTGACTTCAACCTGTGCTATACAAGTTGGTCGGGGTAAAACATGGGTACTATGTAAGGGGTATGCATGTAGTTTTACATCTAGCATTTTCACTTCGAAGAATAAATCACTTCTCTGAGTTTCGAATGATGAGGGTGGAATTTGAAGAAGTCCCTTGTCTTTCTTTGTGAAAGTTTTTGACTTTCTTGTGGGTGTTCTTACAGTTGACATGATGTTTTGCACATGTGGGTTGAACCATGAGTTTGCTCTGCAATGAGAGTGAAACAACGTTTGGAGCCTTGTGTTTGCTTTAGACTGACAGGCTGATGTTGCTTGTGCTTTGGGCATCGGCAACAGGGACTAACAAGTCTCACTACGCACTTCCCGCGCCCACTGAATAGCCATTTTGGAAGTGCAAGACCAAGCAGCTTTAGACTGAGATTTAGGTGTGACATTACAACCACTGTTCTGACCCCCATCACCGATGATAGTGATGGGCGGTTGGTTTGGCACAAACGGGTTGCCGACGGCGCACGAGGCCTGACCCCAATCAAAAAAAATATTTGGAGGTTTCTCATCGTTTCGGTTCTTCGGTTCGGTCTGAAGTTGTTTCAACAGCTGGGAGAAATGGTCCTGTTTGGCGCTGAGGCACGAGATTGGACACAGCACTTGTGGTGCGGACCTTGGGCATGGAGTTGACCTTTGGGCAATTCACTGCCATCGCCTCATGTTCAACAGCCGGGATCTATGCCTACAACAAGCTGGATCAGATGGGGCGCCTACCCCTTCTTTTGCAGGCATTTTATTGACCTGATACACTCCCTCCAAAAGGAGGATGGTGCACATTGAGTTGGGACCCATTGGTGGGAGGCTTATGTTTGCGGCATACCTCGATGCCGCATGCCCCCATCGAAATCTTTGATCTCCTAATATTCAATCGTGTATCAGCCCAAGAATCCCAAAAATCGATAATGAAGCAGCAGTGGGCAAGGGCTTCTGTGGCAGACGCCCTACGTCGCGAAGGCCACAGCAGTCTCTGGTGCTGCATGCAGATTCTGTTGAGAATGTGTTCCAGCGTGGTAACATCCACGCTTTAAAGGCCAGACATCTTGCCGATCGTCGAAAGAGATCTATATGTTTTCCTGTGATTCTTTGCAGGTTTCATCCAGCCTCATTGTCCCCAGATGAACAAAGCTAGAGGGGTTCGTTCTTCTCAATGATCGGGTGCCTGATTGGCGTTTTGATTCAGTGCTGTTGCTGCTGCCTTTTCTCCCCACTTGTTTTCTTACTTGTCTCTCTGTGTCGTCGGCGTTTTGTTTGCCGCTGCTGCCACCTGTCTCCCTATATACTTGTCTCCTTACTCTTGGCTCTCTGTGTGATCCACGTTTTGTCTACCACTTGTTTCTGGGGTTCTTACTCCTCAATGACTGGGTGGCTGACCGGCGTTTGGTTCACGGCTGCCGCCGCTGCCTTGTCTCCACCACTTGTCTCCCACTTGCTTCTTCACTTGCCTCCTTACTTTGCTCTTTAGGGCTTAGTAGGGGCCCAAAACCCTCAAGCTTCAAGCTTGGAACCCGAAGCCCTGAAACCTTCAACCCTAAACCCTAATCTTAAACCACAGGTTGTTAAAGGTTTCGTCCGCAGGCTCGGAAGGCAATGAGCGCATCACAGGAGCAACAACTGGTAAGCATTGTACGGCACATGACCTCGTTAACTAGACTGTTCACTGCCGCCAACTTGGCGGTCCCTCAGTAGAACCGCCATGTCCCACCATACGGGCCATGAATGCTGGCTGCGCTGCATGGTGGTCTTTTCATGCGTAGCCAGCTCAGGCGCGCACGTGAGCTTTGAACTGTGGGATTTTGGCCTGGAGTCAGGTGCTTCGGAACACTGTGCCATGGCAGAAATCAGCATTGCAGACGGGATTGAGCGCAGCTCCTCCAGTAACCTTTTGGAAGGAGGGGCGGATCCTGTACTGTTTGTACAGATGAGCACCCACGTCAATGTGGCGGAATCGGTTCACGCGGTTCACATGCCAACCTCGAACGAAGATCTTGGTGTTTGCGGCATTCTGCTTGCATCAGCCATGCTGTTGATGTTGATCTATTGTTGCAGCTTGTGCGTGGAATGGCCAAAGTGCAAGTCCGATGTGTACAGTGCATACGTTGGCTCATCGGCGGTGCTGCAGAACATATTCATAACTTTTCTCATTCCAGACACCCTGAAGGTCGCAGAATTGTTTCATCGGGGGCCGAGTTATGCAGGGATGGTGGCGGCCGTCTCTTTCCTTGGCACAGGGGTGGGTTCCTTTCTGGCGCAGACCGGGAAGATGGAACTGCCAGATTGTACTTCCACTGTCAACCTTTTCACGTTTGGTGTCATGCTTTCCAATGCTGCGTTTGCCATGGAGCTTGAGCTGGGGACATTGGCTGCGAGCGACAAGTACTTGAATTCCTCGTTGCTCTTGCTGTTCCGCGGGGTTGGTGGCACTATTAGCGGAATTTGTTTTGTTCTGTGCCACCCCATCTTTCTGGAGTTGGGCAGGGAATCCGAACGATTCCACAGGGGCAGTCGCATCACAGTGTATTTTCTTACAGGCCTCGGATTAGGCCCAATGATTGTACCCGTGGCCAACAGGTTAAGCTCAGGGCTCAGCACTTCGAGTTTTCTTGTGACTTCAATGTTTGCATTGCACTTCTGCGTTGGTTTGTTGCTTTCCTGGGGCGACTTCGGCCAGCTTCGAAGCTCAAGTGCTGCGACGGCAGAGAGCCCAGCGAGCTCCGGGACGTCCCGATTTTATCGTATCATTGTGGGCTGCTTGCTGGTCGAAGGGACACGGACTTTCGTCACCGGAGGGCTAGAAATTGGGAACTCCATAATACTTGAAGCTCTCATGTGCTGGGACACAGCACAAGCTGGAGCTGTGATTGGAGTTCCGATCCTGATGACACCGCTCGTCCTCCGGTTGGTGCGCGCTCTGGAAGGAGCATTTTCCACCACGGTGCTGATCAGAGCGTTGCTGTTGCAGGCGCTATTGAGCTGCTTGCTCATGTTCAATTTCCGCAGTGGATTTCAAGGCTTCACTATGGCAACAGAAGCTGGATGCACGGCAGGCCGGGCCTGGCAAGGCATCATCCTTCTGCTTGGCGCCTCCATTGTGTTTCCAAGTGCCACTGCCGCACAAGCGCTGGTCATGGGCTTGCTCTACAAGACAGCAGCATCGGCGGGAAAGGATTCCATGTTCGGCGTTCGTGGCTGCGCCTTTGCAATTAGTCTCATTGGAAGCATCTTCAAGTTCCTCGGGCAGTGGACAACACCAATCGTTATCTCAAAAGCTGGACAGAATGTCTTTGCTATTGAACAAATAGTCCTGCTCTCGGTTTTCTTGTTGATCTCAGAGATGATGTTGCCAGACCCGCGCTCAAAGGAGGAAGCGGGTGCGGAGACATGCGAAGACGAGTAGCCTCTACTTGACCTTCGGTCTTTCGCCATCGGAAACAGTTGGCTCAGGTTTTCTTGGCCGCTGGAGTTGCTCTGAATTGCACCCCGCAATGCTTCGGCTAAGTGAGAGATACTCAGAGGGAAAAGTAGACGTTGTATATAGGGGTTGTATAGGGGGTCATACATGAGGCTGTTGCGATTGTCGCCTTACCCGCGAGGTCTGGTGTCCAAACTGCCCACTGGGCGTTTTGCAAGAATTGGTGTATACAGTGGCTGCCTAAATAGCGCGCAGAATGTTTCGTGCCCTTCAAAGGGACCCGCACCAAAGGCCCCATAATCTGAATTAAGCCCCCATTCATCCATCGCTGAGGCCCAATAAGCTCCACGGGACCTGCCGTGGATGTTCGTCAGGCCTACTAAGAATTAGTGGTTATCCTCCCCCAAGGAAGGGTTTAGGATGATTATTGAGCCTAAACTGCTTGAGGAAGGGTTTGGGATGCTTAGCGACCCGAAACTGCTTCAGGAAGGAACGGGAGGAAGGGTTTAGGATGATTATGAGCCTAAGCTGCTTGAGGTACTTCCTGTTAGGATTTTTGTTCCAGGCTGGAGCCATACTACATCTTGGCTTACTTTTTTTTTTTCCGAATAGGGGACTCTTCCAGTCTTGGGCCTTTTCCAGCGCCAGGCTGCTGTTGGACACCGGGGCCTTTTCCTGCGCTAGGCTGTTTCCCCTCTAAGGACTTTTCCCTGACAAGGGCTTTTCCTGTCAAAGGCTGTTTCCCGCCCTGGGCCTTCCACCCCCCTAAAGTCTAAACCCAACAAACCTAAAACCCTCAAAAACCTCTGAGCCCTAAACAAAACCTCGAAACCCTAAACTCCAGGAAAACCCCAAACTCCAAACCTCCCAACCCAACCCGGCTTCTTAAGAAGCCTTGGACTTGCCGGGACTGCTACGTTGGCTACAGCCTCAGAAGCCACCTTGGCACCACCAAACATCGGTCGTCCACCTTGGTGTCTTTGAGCAGAGGCTGCGCACCAATACGGTTGCCAACATTACCAACATTACTTCTACACACGTGGAGGAACGTCGAATTCACTCCATGAGTGCATCATCCCACTTCAGCCTTCAAAGTTCTCTGATGCTCAGACTAACTCTTGCCGATCGCCAAGCAGTTGGAGAAGACTGCATGTTGTGGAGACCGCCCCGTCTGGCCTGTGCAGATAGTGCAGGTTTTTCTCGGACGGCGTGGATTCGAAGCACCCGTTCACGGGGAGGGCTCAAAGGGCTTGAAGGGCTTCAAGGGCTTGAAGGGTGAGGCAGAACCAGCCATGCATACATTTGCATACATTGGCCACTGATGATCCACGTCACATGTGTGAACGTCGCAACAGGAAAAAACGTGGCACTGCGAGCAAAATCAAGCTCGGCAAGGAAGAGGGCTCGGGGGCGTATTCATCCCAAGTTGGTGGATTGATACTCAGAAAACTGCCAGTCCGGAACTCTGTCTGGCAGTTCGGGATCGTTCAGCTTAGTGGCGACCTCACTGGTAACCTGCCTTTTTTGATCGGAGCATGCAAGTAGTGCTCAGTTTCAGGATCATGAAAAGAAAACACGACAGCTGCTTCATGCTACCTCTACCGGTGCAGCTTCCCAAAATTGCCTAGCAGCATCAAGATACTTGTAGCACAAAAGCACCGTGGGCCAGCAAGTGTCTTTTCAACTGTGGACACGCATTACGACTGGCCCCCCGTGCTGATGGCAGATCATCTTCACGAGTCATGATGCAACGGGCAGGCATTGATGTAGCTCACACGGGAGAGCATGCAATGTGGCCCATTGATAGCATTTCTTGCAGATGTTTTTGTAGCCTTGGCAGAGATGGAGCCGCTGAAGTGATTTTAGTTGGTTAGGCCACATGGGCCACATGTGTCGGCGTTTGAGGTTCGAAAGCCGTCCTGATCTTTGCAGTGTGGATCCCAGAGGTAAAAGTTGAGGGCATTGTCTTCAGATCCAGATGCAACGGGCTGCCAGCGTGTGTGTCCAAAGCGGCATCAGACTGCGCTGTAAAGGTTCCATCGCTGTCATGTGCCCATGGTTTGCATATGTGAAAGAAAGGAAGTTCATTCCAATGCTGGACACTTTTTGGCTTCTGAATGCTTCTGACATTTAAAGAGGAAGGTCTGTGATTAAGCGGCTCGCTTTGCACGTGCACTGAGCTCAAATCTTACAGCTCGGCTAAAAGTCTATTCGCACAAAGTTGCAACGACCTGGGACTCGACGCTGCACGGAGGTGGCTTCTGTGACATCTGGCCTCTGCAGGCGCCCATGGCAGGGCTGCGACAGGGTTTGGTGTTGCATTTGGACGTGACGATACTTTCGCAGGAGTTTTGTCAAGCTTCGTTAATATGATGTGCAATCCGATTTCTCATCCAGAGTGCTGTGGGCATGCATCGGTCATTGGCGACTGTCTTGACAGGACGTCTTTGTGCCTTATCCAGGGCATGGAGGCAGCCATGTCACAACAATGGCATTGCTCCAGCCGTTGTCAAGACACTACCACGTGTGAGGTGCGTGAACACTGCACTTCCACCAATTGCACTGCACTTTCTGTAAATTTGTTGTAGGGCCAGTCCGATGTCACCGATGATCTTTGGATCACATGCTGGACAGGTGCTTAGTCACCTACGTTCCAACGATTTGGCGGCCATGATGCTGGATTGCAGTGGCAAAATGAGGGTAGCACAGGCTGCGTTTTTGCTTGTGGCAGAGAAAGTTGCGGGTTTGCAAGAGCTTTGGGAGCCAAGGAACTTGCGTCGGATTTTCTACATCAATTTGGCAGCTTGGGAGAAACAGCAACTTGAACATCACAAAGTGTAAGCAAGCAAGGATAAGGTTCGTAAGTTGAACAATGCTGCCGCTCCGTGCGTTCTGTGGGTTTCTCCAATAACTTGCCTAAAGTCTGAAGCAGGCAAAGCAAAAGGACGTTGATATGTTTAGTGGACGCAACGTTGCCACTCGTGCCCCAACTGTAGTCACAATCTAGTTTTTCATGTTGTAGGTGTCTACTTGCCACCTGAAGGAGCACATGGGTTTGAGATGAAAGACAAGTCACCAGAATGTCACAGAGTCGATTCGGGCGGGTGGAGAACCCGATTCCTGCTTTGCTGAGGAGCGGCGTGCCCAGCGGCGTGCCAGGTTTGAGCAGCGGTCAAAGGCCGGGTCGGTGGGGTTCCTCAGGCACTTGCTCAGGCACTTGTTCAGGCACTTGGCACTTAGAGTGACCAAAAGTTGTACACACCCGAGCGATGGCGGCCAGGAGCTAGGCTTGCAGCACCTGCTGTCAAGGCAAAGATGGAAGGAGCTTGCAGCTGGTCGCTGTTGCGTTGAAGTGCTTTGAGTTGTTACTTTCAGCTCGACATCTACTTGGTACTGCGAATGTCTATGGTTCATGGCCACAGGTTTCCAGCAGTGGATGGCCAACTTCTCGACTTGACGTCGTGCGCCGCCTCGAGGAGGGTTGTACCGTTGTGCCTATTGGGCCTATTGTCAATGCGTAGTACATGCCTCGTATACTATTCGAACAAAAGCTCTTGGATGCAGCCTTGCTGCGTAAACGGATGCTTATCTATGCTGAACGAAGATCCACTCCACGTACGGCCTCACGCATCCAGCAAGCACACACAGAGAACACAGACATGGCAAGTGCATGCGCGCTGCATTTGTGGCTCGTGAAAGACGGCCACCAGCGTGCCACGAACTGGATAGGCCCTCAGCTGGTGCCCCAGCATATCCAAGCATACAACACTCGCAAAGCAAGCTCCGCTCCTCACGGGCCCATGACGACTGTATCTAGCAAAAAACAGCAGACGCCATGTTTTGGCGCTTGGCCATCCTCGCCATTGGCGCCGGTCTACTCTTTGGGGCACGGCTGAGCTTGTGACATTCTGCATCATTTTGCGCCCAAGATCTGGTGTTTTGGGTGCTTCCATGTGCTTCCCTGGACAGGTGGACTTGGCATCCATTGGGGCGGCGGTGGAGGCGATGTCCAAGGCGTCGCCCCTTGTGTGCCTTCACCTGAGTGTGGGTGTTTTCGTAAGCCGTGCAGGAGCTGGACTTGGATAAGAAACAGACGGAGTGGGTCGTCTCCGGTGCGAAAGGCCCAAGTATCTGCTCGCTTTCTGAGCCGAATTCCACAAGGTGGACTCAGATCCGTCCCTCGTGGCAAGGTGGTGCTATATTTGGCAGCCTCTTTGGCGGAGCGCTCATTATGCGAGGGACTTAGGCTCCTGAGGTTTCCTGTGCAAATGGACTCTTCGTGCAAAGCCGAGCTGACTGCCGAGGTCACGGGGTAGGCGGATGATCATCGGCTGGGCCGCGATACCGAGCATGATCGGAGCCTGACCTGAGATTCTATTGGCACCGTTCGCTTCGACATGCGTAGAAGAGAGCACCGTGCCGACTTTACCCTTCGTTTCAATTCTCCAAGGACCAATTCTTGTATTCACGGCCCACAGCCTGCCACAGCTGATAGTGGGACGGATCCTGCAGCTTCGATGCACTTCTTACGTTCGCCTTCTAACCCTAGCTGAAGATGACCACGAAAGCTCCTCACAAAATCTGTGCTTAAAGTTGCACGCATCTGTGGGTCACGGCGCTGAAACTTGGGCGGCTGTTGCCCCGAGGTCTTTTGGCTTGGGTTGGGGCAGTGTAGCGTAGCCAAGAGGGTCGGTCGATGACTCTCACAACCATGCTGGTTGCGGCGCGGCGTGAAGAGCCGGAAAGGCACCTTAGAGTGAAATCTGCAAAGCACTTCGGAAGGTTCCTGGTCCAAGGAGGTAAGTTTGAAGTAAGAGATGCACGCAAACCCGCGGCAGCGCCTCACAGCTCCAGACGTGGGGGTGGGGGGAGGCAGCTGATTCCACGTACCTGCCATGCCTGCCACGTTTTCAGCTTGCATGCCGAGCTTTCATCCTTGCTTTCATCCTTGTGCGTTGCAAGTCTTTCGGGGAGAAGAGGTTGGGCAGCTTTTGTCACAGCTTTGTCCAGCATTTGCAGTGAGCTTGTAGTGAGCTTGCTGAGCTATCCGAGCTTGCCGAAAGTTGCTGAATGCACCCTGAATGCTCTGTGAGTGCATCCGAAGGATGGGAGTTGGCATCGGCCTTGCATCCGTTGCCACGCCCAGCTACTTGAGTGAGGTGGTGCTACCGGTGGCTTGGAAGCGATTTGAAGTCTTCAGTGTCGGTGAATCCTGGCCCATGCTCACAGAATGAGAATGGCAAAAATGTATCGAGTTGTTTCAAAAAGCCCAGAGGAGCAGCGAGGACTCTTCGAGGCGCTGGAGTCGCGCCATCTTTGCATACCCTTGAGAGCACCACATTGTCACATCTTGTTTGTACATAGTTGTACATACTACATCCCAGTCTGCAGAACTCCGAGAGCTCGGGAGCTCACTGGCTGCTTTTCCTGCACACGCTCTCAATGAAGGCCATGTACGAACTGGGCATCGCCGCGGGAATGCTGCTGGCAGCCTCGGCCAATGCGCTCATCCAGGTTCGTTGTTGAAAGCTTGTTGATGCGTCGCGATGATATGTTTGACGATCCGCTTGCACAATGCGAAAGTCATTTTAGGGTCGATCGCCAGATTTTGAAAGTATGCAGTGCTTGGATGGTTGATCTGGTCCCTGAGATGGTGGGCACCGAGTCCGTGTGGCGATATCAGGCAGCAGCCAGGAACTTGTTTGTTTGAGTTTGCTTGGAGCTCGGCAGGCATGAGCAGGTGTCATCGGCAACGATTAGACCTCAGTATCATCAATGCATGTTGAAGCTCCGTGAAAAGGCGAAAGTCCAAGAGCCCTGCTTCATTTTTCTGCCACCTCAAGGGTGTAAGTGAGACTCTCAAAATGACAGGCTGGATGCGTGCCCTTTGTCTTTGCCTTCCCAGTGCTCATGGTTGTCTGCACCGTGCCGGAGTCTCCCAGGCACATGGATTTGTTGACCCCTTTGGAATGGGATGCCCTGTGTTCCAAGTTGGGTCCAGAGGTGGATGTTGCAGACAAAAGGATCCAGCCCTTCCTCCTTGCTGGCCGTGCTGGAGGCTTGATCTTTCCCTCGGCATGCTTCAACAGCTTTCAACATCTTCAACATTACCAGACCTGGCTTGCAAGCGCTCGTTCTCTGCTGAGCAGGAGATCGAACGCCTAAGGCGGCCTGGAGCTGACAAGCGGTTGGAAACGTGGCGTTCCGGCGGCAGGACACCTTTTTTTTCAGTGACTTGCAGTAGCTTCCTGCAACCTGAGCAGGGACATCTATCCTGTCCTTACGCAGGGGTGGCCTTGAAGAGAGTGACGACGCCGAAGATGATGATGACCTAATTCGTCACGAGGCTTCATAGCATTCACTTGAAACTGTGCGTGCAGTGGGGTATCTAAGGTCTGTGGGATGAAAAGCATCACGCAGCCGGTACTCCACTGTTCAGATCTGACAGCGTGCTGGAGGCCATCATGGTTTCGCGCCTCTGAATGGCTGTAATGTTCTTGAGAAAAATGGAGCTTCAGAATCTCACAACCCCTTGCCACCTTTCGCAGCCTGAAGGAGAAGGATGAAACGGTCCGCCTTCGCACGCTGCCGATCCTGAAGCGCACGCTGGGAGACGTCGGGATCACAACTTCTTCGGGCTGAATTTCTGCGGTTCAAGGGGGCCTTTTGAATGTTTCAAGCAGGCTTGTTTGGACTCCTCAGCTGTGCTCCTTTCAGAAAGGCTTGCGCCATCATCGTGGGCTCGCACAAGGCACGGGAAGCTCTGCCAGATCGCACGTTGCCTTGCAATGTTTTGCCTCTGCTGTTTCAGCATTTTCAGCAGGGTTTTCTCTACGGGGGCCAAGGGCCGGGGGGGGGGAAGGCGGGGGGCCACACGTGGACGCGGAGGTGCCTGCTGGAGCCCGGCGCGGCCTCGGGTTGGCACTGGCCGCGGCAGTCCTTGACCAGGACATTTTAGGGTTAGGGTTTCAGGGTGTTGGGATTTTAGGGTTTTTTGGTTTTTGGGGTTTATGGTTTTTGGGGTTAGAGGCTCAGGGTTTGATCTTGAGGGTTTGACCCAGAGAGCGACTGGGACACAGCGCTTTGGAAGCGGAGCAATCGCCACTCAACCACAGTGGGATGGGGGTCCTGAAAGGCTTCTGTGGGGCTTCGCAGGGCAAACGACGTGCATTTTGGCTGCGAATGTGGAAAGAAAGAGCCAAATGTCACGTCGTTTGGTTTTTTTTTGAGCCTGGGAAAGGGGGGTCCTGAAAGGCTTCTGTGGGGCTTCGCAGGGCAAACGACGTGCATTTTGGCTGCGAATGTGGAAAGAGAGAGCCAAATGTCACGTCGTTTGGTTTTTTTTTGAGCCTGGGAAAGGGGGGTCCTGAAAGGCTTCTTTGGGGCTTCGCAGGGCAAACGACGTGCATTTTGGCTTCGAATAATGTGGAAAGAGAGAACCAAATCTCACGTCGTTTGGTTTTTTTTTGACCCTGGGGAGGGGGGTCCTGAAAGGCTTCTTTGGAGCTTCGCAGGGCAAACGACGTGCATTTTGGCTTCGAATAATGTGGAAAGAGAGAGCCAAATCTCACGTCGTTTGGTTTTTTTTTGACCCTGGGGGAGGGGGGTCCTGAAAGGCTTCTTTGGGGCTTCGCAGGGCACGACGTGCATTTTGGCTGCGAATGTGGAAAGAGAAAGCCAAATCTCACGTCGTTTGGTTTCTTTTTTTGAGCCTGGGGGAGGGGGGTCCTGAAAGGCTTCTTTGGGGCTTCGCAGGGCAAACGACGTGCATCTTGGCTGCGAATGTGGAAAGAGAGAGCCAAATCTCACGTCGTTTGGTTTTTTTTCTGAGCCTGGGGGAGGGGGGTCCTGAAAGGCTTCTTTGGGGCTTCGCAGGGCAAACGACGTGCATTTTGGCTGCGAATGTGGAAAGCGAGAGCCAAATCTCACGTCGTTTGGTTTTTTTTGAGCCTGGGGGAGGGGGGTCCTGAAAGGTTTCTGTGGGGCTTCGCAGGGCAAACGACGTGCATTTTGGCTGCAAATGTGGAAAGAGAGAGCCAAATCTCACGTCGTTTGGTTTTTTTTGAGCCTGGGGGAGGGGGGTCCTGAAAGGCTTCTTTGGGGCTTCGCAGGGCAAACGACGTGCATTTTGGCTGCGAATGTGGAAAGAGAGAGCCAAATCTCACGTCGTTTGGTTTCTTTTTTGAGCCTGGGGGAGGAGGGGGGTCCTGAAAGGCTTCTTTGGGGCTGCGCAGGGCAAACGACGTGCATTTTGGCTGCGAATGTGGAAAGCGAGAGCCAAATCTCACGTCGTTTGCAACAAGTCGTGCTTGAGGCTTTGTTGTGTGTTTTTTTCCGGTGGCTGCAATTCGCGAAAAGTTCGCATCGGACAGACTTGTGCCAGGCTTGCGCATCGACTTCGATCCTCATCTATGCACAGAAGATGCTGGCCACTGTTGGCGTGGGCCAGGACCGCACACCAGCCAGCAAGCCAGGTGCAGACAACAAAGCATGTTTCGTGATGGTTCAGCCGCTTTCTGCGGACTCGTGCGTATGATCAGCTGTGGTCTGAAGATGTCTAAAGCGGGAGGATCAGCAAGATCTGCTCACGCTGAGTGTGGTGGGCGCAAAGATGTTGGGTGTGACCCCGTGCAGAAACGAGCGGCTTGTGGGAGTCTTTTGAGGACTAGTCAGTGATGATGCCTACGTGCTTATACGTGCTTAACGTAAGCGCGACCCATGAAAGAAAAAAAACATGAGCCAAGGATCCTGGGCCTTGCGATCGTTGAGCGCGTGTCCAGGCCAGCGGTGTGGAGATGTAATAGATGCATGGTGCGGACAGAATGGACAGACAAACGGCTTTTGCGCAGCATTCGGGAACGTACTAGTAGCACAAGAATATTCCGGCGAATCTCTCAGGGGGAAGGCACAAACATACCGGCGGCACTCTGCACGTGATGTTTGTTTACGTTCCAAATTGATTTGTTGTATGCATGTTTCTGTAGTGTTTCCGTGATGTTTTTTGTTTTTGTTCCCCCGTGTACGGTTTTTGGGGTGACCGGGGGGTCCATGACGCGTATCGATCTTGTGTAGAAAGAGCCCAACGGAGGTAAAATTCAAAAGCAAATGGAAAATACGAAGAAGAAGAAGAAGTCAGGCCCTGTAGGGTCTTTGCAAGTTTTTGTCTTTTCCTGGCCCCAGTGTCAGGCGGATGTTGCTCGGAGCAGGCGGTGGTAAGCTGGAAGCAACGTAGTTGGCATCAGGATAGCTGCAGAGTTTGACGGCGTGAACTCAGGCCTTTCCGCTGTGGCCCTGCTGATCATAGTGCTCGGTGCTTTCTGGAAAAGTCCAGCAATGTTGGTGTTTCTTGTCGAGCAACGTTGTGACTTCTTTGGCATAGCTCCAACTTCCATGCCGTCTAGTGCTACACCGTACCATGGCGACCCGCGGTCAAGACGTGCACACGGACTTGACAAGGTTCGGCATGAGCTGCTTCATTGCAATCTTCTACAGCACCTGGGGCATCGGCTACTGGATAGTGGTTGTCGAGGTGCCAACATGGTGCCAACAATCAGGAGCAGCAAGGTCAAGGCATGTCAAAGCCTGATGCGCAGTCTATCTTGAACCCTTCAAAGTGCAGGTCACTGCGGTTGGAGGGCCTCGCTATGCCTCGGAAGCTTGGCAGACACGAAGGGTCGGAACGGCCGTGTTGGACCCTTGTAGTCGCCTTGAGACATGAACTGAGCTAGCCAATGATCAAAGCAGGCTTGCACGGGCAGGCTTCTACTCACCAGGGTCACCAGTGTCCGTCATAAGTACATACGACCTCCTATTGAGAGAATTTCCTGCGACTTCCACTAGGCGAGCCGCAGGCAACTTGTTTCATCCGCAGTGTCCCTTGAAGTGAAAGTAGGTCTGGGGTTTGTTTAGGGCTTGTGTGCAGGCAGCTCAGGCGGTGTCCACGGCCACGTTGTTCGCAGCTGGCTGGTTGACATCTTTGACTTTCATAGATGCTCTCTGTCTGCAGAGACATCAAGGTTATCTGTGCTTTTCTACAGCACATGATTGCTCCGTGCTGAGGTAATGTCATTGGGATCAGCAGGGTTTCCCGGCAGCACGAGGGCTTAGGCTACGGCGGCCGCCACCATGACCATGACCACAAGTAACACCTGCCGCCGACGAGCCAGAGCAGCCCTAGCTCGTCGGATTGCAGGTCTGGCAGATCTGTGAGATCACCGCAACAGTTGAATTCCTGATGTCTGAACATTTCCAAACACTTTGGCCCCGGCCTCCCGAATTCCTTCAGCGACTTTGCAGATTGAACTCCCTGCGCGCTCAGGCTTCTGATTTACGTTGCCGTTGCGGTCCTCATGAGTGTCTCTGCTGCAGCCTAGCGAGACGTAGGCCCATCGCAGGTTCTTGGCAAGATCTCTACGACCAACCGCAGGCCCGTACTCTTTGTGGTACTGGTCCCTTCACTCGCACGTTCACACTCGCACTATCTTGCACTCCCGGGGGAGCCTGCCATTCACGAACCCACCTCGACGAGCCGAGACTCTTGCCCCGAGAGGACCTGCTCTTGGGCTGTGCATCGCAGCCAAGCCCCAACCAAGAGTGTGCGCATCCATGCTCATGCTCAACAACTGCGCTCGAAACTCATGGCCACATCTCATGCCGCTCCCACATTTGGGCACCTGTTGGGGTCCAGAGGAAGCAATTAGTGACCATGAACCCTTGGCTTTGTTGTTTGGATTTTCAAATTGCAATAGTCATGTACACTAAGTGGAGGGTCGTGTGCCGAGGTGCGTATGGTTTCTGCGTGCTTCCTGAGACGAGCGGACACTCCTTGGAGGAACGTCAGACGCATCTTGCTTCGGGCTGTCGTGCTTTCGTGCTTTCTGCAGCTTCAGAATATTCTCATTGTGCCAGGAGTGCGCTGGGGACATTGGGGCAGAGGTGCCAGCATGCAAGCATATGTTTGTGTCATCCGCCGTACATGCGACCAGGTTCCTGCAAAAGGCATGTGCACGGCCTGGGTGTCTTCTTACACAGCTGGTGAGCTTCTAGTTTCGTAGGGCAAGAAAACAGGTTTCGGGAAGGGGAAGCTTTCAGGCCACACGCAGAGCTTGAGTTTTGTATTGTGAGTTATGACACGAGAGCATGTGCAGACACGCACCCCGACTCGAACGACTTTATGTGTTGTCTTCCTCATCAAGCTTGGGTCTCGCCTCGCACCGACCAGTCTTGTTCTTCAAAGTTGTGTTATGAAATATGGCGTTGCTAGATCGCAAAGATGCGCGAAAGGGCGATCTGTCCTCCGTTGTCCCTGTGAGACTTCGACAGACGACGAGTCCGATGAAAGTGAGTCAGACTGAGTCAGAAGATTAGGACAGCATCCCAATAGCTGACCATAGTTGCAGTCAGACAACATGCTATCTTAATCGCGTAGGACGAAGAGCTCGGCTTCAGGGAATGCAGCTTTTCGTGTGTGATGGCGATGCCGTAAGTTTGTGGTTGCATTCTGTCAGGGTTGTCAGAGATCACAAAGTGTAAGATAGGATGTAAATCGTGGCCGCTTTGTCTGCCAACAGTTCTCCAACGCCTTGACGAAAAGGTCCGCAGTGGTTAATGTATTGGGCATCGTGATCTGCTCAGCGGATTGTGCTAGTCCCGTTGTGCATGTATCAACTTAGCACCCACTCAGCATCCAGACTGAAAGATGTTGTTTACATGCCAATCTCGATGTGCAGATGTGAGAATTGTGCGTTGGAGCGCACAAGCAAGCATTCTTGGGTTCAGGTACCCACGAAGCGTTGTGAAAGAGGTTGGATGCTTTGATGTGAGGCATGTCGAGCCATGTCTAGATGATGGCAAGCTTCTGATCAGCTATTCATCAGAAAGCTACTGCTCTTGCTTTGCTTGCGATCTTCCAGGCTGGAGTCAGTGCAGCACAGGCACCACCAGCTGTGGTGAACGGAGCGCCGAGAGATCTGTTGGGTAAAGCTTCTGCTGTATCAAGCTTCTCAAGCTTGGGACCGGTTACTGCAAAGAGCGAGCAAATAGAGGCCGTGGTGGGCTTGGGAGAGGAACCTACTGTTTCTAGTAGCGGAGTTTCATGCAGTACTTCCGGCACAGTTGAGTCACAATGCGTTATGTTCGTTCAGATCAGTGGAGAGTGGCATTCCGGCAGGAGCACACTTAACTCGTGGTGCCCTAGGCCCGGTCCCTGATCAAAGAACTCCGCCACGGCAACGTAGCCTTTTCTGTGCTGCTGCTGTTCTCTTTGTAGGAGCAGAATGAGAAGCATGGTGTCAGTGCAGCAAGATTATGCATAGAATGGCTGCGGGTGAGCTGGACATAACAAACATTCCGCTTTGTTCCGCCCCTCAGCTTCGCAGACAATCGGAATGAGGTCTCATCCTGTCCTATCACACTCTGCTGCAGCGCATCGCTGCAGATGAGGTGGAGGAGATGAGTGCTACCAGTAGGATTGCAAACGCGTCAACAAGGGGTGTGACGATAGCTGCCTGACACAGTCCGCGGAAGCAACGAGTTCAGTGCCCGGCCCCTTGGCATTGACGTTGTGGGGTCTCGTCATTTCGAGGACAGCGTTTACGTAGTGGCGGAGGACGATGCTGCCTTGGGCTCAAGTTCTGAACTTTCCCTTGTCGCAACAGACGCATTGCTGCGGAGGGTGGAATCGCTGCACAAAGGCGCAGATCGCATTCCTGTCGGGGTTTTGTGCAGTTAGGTTACTGCGACTTGTAGTTCTTTTTCGAATCTGCGTTCAAGGTGCTGGAAGACAACTTTGTGAGCGGTTTGCAGCTCTGCCTAGATGCACTGAGCTTAGTCGCTCTTGAAGTTTCTTGCTGTCAGCAACAGCATATTGGAGGGGGAGGAGGAGGCGAGACAATGCTGAATATGCTCTGGCGGCTCTGGTCAATGTATCAGCTCTGGTCAATGTCAGTGCGTCACTGTTCTGGTCTGTTTTCGCTTCCGCGCCTTTCGCTTCCGCGCCTTGCGCAGCTCGGTAACTTATATCTTATCCCTTATCAGCTGTGTCTTCTGATTGTGGAGTAGCGGATTCATATATGCCTTTCAAAATGAAACCAAGGTGGCAGACCCCGATGTCTTCACTATATGACTGATGTTTCTCCTGTCTCTGTTTTTCTTAGTCGCCTTCATGATGTCGCAAAACGAATTTCATCCGTAAAGCCTTAACCCTCAGGCCCCTCAAGTACCTTAATTGCCCGCACCCGAAGCTGCCTGAGCTCATGCCGGAAACACCAGTGTGAACACTGACCATGGTCGCCAGTTTGGGGTTTGGGGGTGTGCCCGACAGTGGGGGGGCGCGCCAGCGCAGCCCACGTGCCCCGCCAGCCAGAACCTTCACCCGAATGCCGAAATTCCAGATTTTCCGGTAGAAAGCCAGGGAGCCCTCAGGCAGCTGTACCGCAATGTGATTCAGCCCCACAACGTGAAGCCTGGTAGAGAGAGAGAGAGAGGTCCCTTCGGGGCTTCTACGCTGGGTAGAAGAAGAAGAACAAGAAGAAGAAGAAGAAGAAGAAGAAGAAGAAGAAGAAGAAAGAAGAAGAAGAAGAAGAAGAAGAGAAGAAGAAGAGAAGAAGAAGAAGAAGAGAAGAAGACGAAGAAGAAGAAGAAAGAAGAATAAGAAGAAGAAGAAGAGGAAGAGGAAGAAGAAGAAGAATAAGAAGAATAAGAAGAAGAAGAAGAGAGAGCAAAAGGCAAGCAGAACGGGTCCATCCAGGCAGAGAGGACAGCAGCCGAACAACAGGCAGCAAGGTATTCAGGAACAGTAGCCTTGCGCTGACACAAGATGCGCGTGGACTTTGATGTACATGGGTTGTTGACGCTCGAAACCCTAAGCGTCAAGCCCAGGTTGCGAGAACCTAAGGCGACCTAGACTCCGGCGACATATTGTGAGTCTGACGAATGCCATGACTAAGGCTCTCCGCGGTGAGGACAACAGGCAACCAGCATGAGGGATCCAAAAGTGGAAATCTGATTTGTTGCTTAGCTGGGGGAGACCGTGCTTGCCGGACATTTCGTTGAGTTGTGTTCCACGACTGATGCTTGTGCATCTTGTGTAGAGCTTGTGCACAGCTTGAGGAAGATAGGTCTATTAAGTAGCCCCCTATGATAGGCGTCGATAGACCCCTATACAGACCCCTATGGTTTTGGGATAGGGCCCTATGATCTGAGCCCTCTCATTGCTTAGTGGTACCCTATGCATAGGACCTACCCGTTTCTGCATACACCCCTATGCATAGGTCCCCTCCCCCCAATGCATAGAGCCTATCCCTACCTATACCACCCCCCTATGCGGCATAGACCCCTATCCCTTTTCCATAGGTCCCTACCCCCTCCGGATAGACCCTACCCACAAACCTATAGACACCTATGGTAACAAATATTACACTTGCGCTCGAGCGAGGGTTTAGGGTTTAGGGCCAGTTTAGGGTTTTTGTCGGGCTTTTGGGGGTTTAGAGTCGGGCTTTTTAGGGTTTAGGTTTTTTTTTGGTTTCGGCCTCAGAGCTTTTAAGGCTTTAGGGGGTTTTAGGGTTTAGAGTTTAGGGTTCCGGGGTCTTAGGGTTTAGGGTTTAGGGTTTTTAGGGATTAGGGGTTTGTAGGGTTAAGAGTTTTTTGGGGTTTGGGGTTTAGGGATTTTTAGCGCCCCCTCCCATTTGCAAACGCAAAAGCGGGGGGTTGGGGGGGGGGGGGGGCGCAGCCGCCCCCATTTGCACAAACAATGTTCAGGGGCTTTTAGGATTTAGGGTTTTCGGTGTTTGAAGTTGAGGGTGTTTTAGGGTTTAGGGTATTTGTGTTTTGGGTTCAGGGGTTCTTATTAGGGTGTACGGCTTGAAGGGCTTAGGGTTTTTTAGGGTTTAGGGTTTAGGGTTTAGGGTCAGGTTTTTAGGGTTTAGAGTTCAGGGGTTTTGAGGGTTTCGGGTTTAGGGGTTTTTTTAAGGGTTGAGGACTCAGGGGTTTTTAGGGTCTGGGGTTTAGGGTTCTAAAAGGGTTTAGGGCTTAGGTGTTTTTGGGTTTAGGGTTTCTTTGGTTTGAGGGCTGGGTTTTGGGTTTAGGGTTTGTTTTGGGGATTAGGGTTTCTTTTGGAGGGTTTATGAGCAAACACAACACCCGCATGATGGGTTCGAACAAGGATAAAGAGGGGGGTGGGGTTGGGGGGGCGCAGCCCCCCCCCCCCCCCATTTGCACACACAATTCTCGCATGATGGGTTTGAGAAAACATGCGTATGTTTAGGGTTTTTTTAGGGATTAGGGTTTAGTTTTTTTCTACGGTTTGGATTCATTAGGGTTTAGGGCTTTGGGGTTTTTATTTTTTATGGGTTAGGGTTTTCGGGGTTTGAAGTTGAGGGCTTTTAAGGGTTTAGGGTTTTTTGGGTTTAGGGCTCGGGGGTTCTCAGGGTGTAGGGCTGATAGGGTTTAGGGGCTTTTAGGGTCTAGGGTTTATGGTTTTTTAGGGTTTAGGGTTTAGGTTTTGGGGTTTAGAGTTCAGAGGGTTTGGGGTTCAGGGTTTTGTAAGGGTTTAGGGCTAAGTCTTTTGGGTTTAGGGTTTAGGGTTTAGGGTTCAGGGTTTTTTAGGGATCAGGGCTTCTTTTTGGGTTTAGGGGTTAGGGTTTTTGAGGGCTTAGGCTTAGGGTTTAGGGTTTCGGGTGTAAGGCTTCGGGTTTAGGGTACAGTTGTGAGGCGACGAAGGAAGGGACGGATAGGGCCCTTCGGAAAGGGATAGGGGTCTATGTCGCCGATAGGGGTCTATGTCCAGACTATGCCCCCTGGTATCTAGACCCCTATCCTTTCCAGGCAGGGGCCTATGACTAGCTTTCCATCCGCGCCAGACAGACCCCTAAAGAGAGGGGTCTATCAGCTAGGAGTTGGGCACCGGGGTAGGGGTCCATCCTGATTTCGATAAGCCCACTATCAGATAGGGGGCCTATTCAAAACAAATAGGAGAATACTTTACGGACTCTTACTCAAGCTTGTGCAGAGCTTGTGCAGAGCTTGTGCAAGGTGGGACTTTATCCACTTGGGATACTACGACGATGATTGTTCTCTCGCTCCTCTGAAAGGCGGAACCTGGGGTTGCCGATCCGATCAGTGTGCTTATGTGTGCTTCTGCGTCTGGAATGTTTTTTCTTCCTCCTCTGGCCTGTGGAAGAGGAACGGCAAGGCTTACTGTAGAGCTTCGTCATTCGTTTCGCTGCCAAAGTTGCCTTCTCTCAGCCAGGGTCTGCGAATCGAGTGCTTTGCCGACCACTGCAGGCTTGGGCCACAAGGGAGGCACTGAAGTTGAGGCAGAGAGAAGTGTTTCCTTTTTCTGGAGGTCTACGGCCTCTTCGGCGCCGCGCTGCGGCCACGCGGCGCAGCGCGGCTTCTGGAGGCTTCTTGGGGTGGGCTTTGAGCTCTTTGAGCTCTTTGAGCTCTTTGAGCTCCTTGAGCTCCTTGAGCTTTTTGAGCTCTCTGAGCTCTTTGAGCTCTTCGAGCTCTGACCTAGGAAAGGGTTCATCACGACATGCGCAGATCTCGGATGGTCGACTTTCCGCTGCCTGCTGTACGGCTCCAGCTGATGTGTATGGATAGTATCTGCCCACGTGAAAGCAGTCGTGCAGCCAATCAGTCTTGGAGGTTTTTGCACGAGAGTTGTAGACCCGTCAGCAGCACCTTGGGAGCACCAATGCCCACCTAAGTGGAGCGAGCTCATAGGAGCAGTCGGATTCTTTTCAGAGTCTTGAAATCCTTTAGTACTGCCGGTGATGACTGGGCGCGGGCCATTGCCCATGACATCTTGAGAGCGGTGTTCCACCTTCATCGTTCCTCTGCATGCATTTGGTGAAGCTGCCTTCGTCCAAGTACTCAGAAGCCACCGGCATGGAATTACTTAGGAGTGGGGGGGGCCAGTGGCTCCCGACGTCCTGTCCGGTTGTGTTCTACACGGAGGGCCAAAGATCATGGATGATTCAAGAAATATAGAAGCGACCAATCCTTCTGGAAAGTCACACATATTAACCCTCAGAAACAGGTTCCTGAAGTCCCAGCTATGTTTGTGAAACAGCTCATGCTTTTCTAGAGATCATGGACAAGGATGCTGAAGCCGTCAATTGTTTCTTCGTACAACCCTGCTTCCTTTCCGTTTCAGGATTCGGGACCCAGCATACTTTTGGGTTTGTTTTTGGCTAGGGTTTTGGTTTTGAGGCTCGGGGACCCTCAGCCCGATGCCCTACTCGTTTGTGAAGGATATGGGCACAAGTTTCGGGGCAAGGGAATGCCGGAGAAAGGACTTGTGTGCTGATTCAGCCCGTGCTTCTCGCAAGGCTTCTTGTCGAAGCTTGGCCATCATGAGGTTTGAAGCTCAGAGTGCCTGAGTGCAAGCATGGGCTTCTTGCAAAGCAGAGGTTGCAAATTTATGGCACGAGCCATCCCGCGGCATGAGCATGCACAATGACGACTGTTTGAACCTGCGAGCAGAGTCCCTGAGAAGCTGCGCATCTCGAATGCCAGAGGCAGCAACGTGTGCGGATGGACCAATTTGATCGCCATGCGCTCCTGCAATATCATCAGCAGGAGCACCGACGAGATGTTTACAGAACTGGCTAGGAGTTGCATGAGGATGTTGTCAGCACATGTTATCTTGCAGAGCAGTGGTCTCACTTGTGGGGCAAGTGTCTGTGCTTGTCCGTCCAGGCGATAACGCAGGCTTTGGCCCCACAGCAAGCTCAGAAGCAGCAACTCTGCAGCATCATCAGTGGTGTGCAGCTGACTGGGCCGAAGAAGCCATGAGGCAACTCTCAGGTAGTTTGGTTCGAAGCAGGTCCACGGATAATGCAGCTTGGAGTCTGGTCAGGGGGATGTAAGTTGTTTTTGGACGCTTGCCCGCCACACATGAGTGAACTGTCAGTTGAGCGCTTGCCACCCGAAGAAACCAACTCTAACCATGATACCTGCTATCAGTTCAGCTATTTCCTTTCAAAATCTTTCAAACTACAAACGACAAAGTTGGCTGCGACTTGAGAATGTTGGATTCTGCAGCCACCGCACATTACTGTACTGCCACCAGTTCTGAGGATGCCGTGCCAGCTCGTATTCCCTGACGATACGATGGCCATTGGTTCGCCGCCGCCCGCACGCGGTTTGCTGCTTCCAGTGTCGACCTTAGCCTCAGCCGTAGCAGCCTTGAAGGCGTGGTGGTGCCCTTCTGCCATTTAGGCAGCAATGCAGCATAATATAAGGCGACAGATTCATGGTGAAGCGGGAAGACGTTTGTAGGAAGGTGCTGTGTGAAGCTTGACCCGTATTGCTCAAGGAAGCTGAGAATGGGCAGGAGACCGAGGAAGAGAGGCGCAGTCATTCAACCATGTCCAAGCACCGTCATGTTAACGGCCGATTAGGGCTGATAGCACATGTCCTCAGTACTGACGCTGTCATGTACAGGCAAAGACGGCTTCTGCAGAACGAGCCGATCGTGGTTTACACTTCGTTGTCAGAGGATGAGGTGACCCTGGCTACCGTTATGTTTGGTCGACCAGACTTGTCTGGGACTGGGTGTTGCACCGTTGACATGCGTGTGAAAGCCTGCAGATGAAGGTGATCATGCCAGAAATAGCACGCCGCGGTGTGGCTTTGTTGACCATCGTCGCCCTGCAAATGGTGGGGAACCCGGACAGCACGATTGCCATCCCGCTATCCCAGTACCGGGTATCAGAAATAATATCCCGTAGCCGCTTATCTTGCCAGAGACGCGAGCGCAAACACTCCCTGTTGCTTGCGTTTATAGTATAGGTCTGCATCATTGTCATCCTTACTGGTGGTGAGGACGGGCTGCCAACTGTTCTCTTGCTGGAATGAAAGCATTCACTTTGGTGCAAGTACTCGACTTGTTTCCTAACCCTAAGTTTTCTCAGGTGCTTGTGGGAACAGGATTCCTTTGCCCATGTGACTCATGAAGATGCTCACTGAGTATGCTCCTTTAGGAGGACCAGCTCTTCGAGCCCAATCAGGAGACCCCGAGCACCGTGCAGGTCTGGAGTTGTCCTCATGGATGCGAGCTTTGCAACCTTACACAAAGAAAGCTAAAGGAAGCTGCTTGTAGGTAGTTGGGACTACATATTTCATGTTCACCCCAAATTCGCCTCTAGCCAGGTCAACCCCTAGCGATTTCACCCCAAAAACCCTGGGTCCATGGTTTGGTTGTCCTTGCTCCTTCCATGGTAACTGTTTGTCTGTCCATCTATTTTGAGGTGTCTCACACCGGGGTGTCTTGTGCCAGGTGACGCTGTACACATCACAGCTCCTGATTTCGCCCGGAACCTCAGAAAGCTGAAGGGACTCATCTCAATGCAACAGGCTTCTGAATTAGCAGCCTCTTGGGCCGCAGAAAGTTTATTATTGCGTTTCTCCAAGCATATCTCCACAAGTAGATGCTGGACGCCTGCCCAGATGTCTCATGCCTCGATAAGCATGCTCTACGAGGCAGCTTCGCCTTCAAATGCATTCCAAGGCCTGCTTTCCTCGTCGCATTCTACCTGTGGAGTCACGTCCTGGGAGAGCGCGGTATTGAACAAACTATGTGGAAGTCAATTCTCAGGGCAAGGGGGCTTCACGAAGGTGTTGACATCATGAAGCTCTACACGGTTTTGAACCAGCTTGAGCTTGCCACAGCCTCGGCTCTGCAAGACCTGGACCCTTGCATCGCTTGATTTATCCTCATTTTGTCTTCGTTTCGCTCCGCCTATTCTGCTTCGGTGTCTGCTTCTGCTTGGGCATTGAGGTTCTGACTGCCACGCTTGCACTACGCAGTCCGTTGGACCTGCTCGTCTCGAACTCGCAGAAAGGAAGCCTTGCGTTGGAAAGTACCTGGCGGGTTCTCCTTCCAAGGTTTGTGCTTTGTACGTCCCGATCGTCTTGCTCAGCGACTGTCTGCGCTCCTTGATGATGCCGCAAGCCCAGCAGAGTACTGATTTCGGTGCTCTCAAACGGTTCATAGAGGTGACTGTCAAGCCCGTTGCAGTTGATGGAAGGTTTGGCAGGGTAAAATTGCTGTTCTAATGGTACATCCATGAGACCGTGCAAGGAAATGTTTAGTCTCCTCGTTGCAGATAATCGCAGTTTGGAGTTCAATGAGCGTCTGTGCCTTGGCGCGAGGCCACATTGCTTTATGATACGTGGCTGAGCAAGTAGCGGCGCCCAGCCTGTGTGACAAGTGGACATCACATCAGCGAACGGTGTGCAGGCGTTTCACCAGTGACCAGTGCCGTGATGACAGCAAGTAGCGGCAAAATCTCAGTGCTCTTTCGTCGATCATTGCTCTGCAAAGAGGCGCATGAGGATATTGCGTGACTGCGACGAGTGTGCCTTTTTTCACACAATAAATGGAGTGAGCCAAGATGAGTCAAGGCATGCAGAAGATTCACAGTGAAGCAAGTTGCAATGCGGGGGAAGCGCGTAAGGGGGAAGTGTAAGCGTGTTTGTGCCAAGCTCATCGTTCTTTGTTGGCACCCAGAGATGCATACTGCGTACGTTGCATGACTTGGTCGAACTGGCTTAGGAAGTGATAAAGCTTCTGTTTAAGCTTGTGTTCGGGTTTCCGCCAAATTGACGGTTTGTCAGTTGTTTCAAGAAGGCCAATGCGAACATCAAGATGCAAGCCTTCGTGAGCATTGATCCGATGGTTTAATTGCTATGTTCAACAAAGCAGTAGGTGCATGTCGCTGCACATAGTGGACATGGCTTCAGCAGAAGGGAAGTACGCGGTAGATGGCACATGTAGGCGAAGAAGCAAGCCAATACATTCAGATTGCTAGACCGATCATGCCGAGATAATCCTGCCTGGCGATTGTTTGACTTGGATTCTGCTACATCGCAAACTGAGATGCAAAGCAGCACTAGTGTTGTTGCACTCTTGCTGTCAGACAGTGTGTACAACCGAACTTGCTTGAACGGCAACTGATAGTGCTGCAAGCCCGGGCAGACATGTACTTTCACACTTGTCAAGTCAGGCCGGTGTGAGCACTGCAGGCAACATGACAGCAAGAAAGGCTACCAGAGTATGCACGCAACGCTCGAGGTCATGACGATGATACTGCCAACTGCACTCCCAACCTCCCTCATCCTGCAAGAACGCAGACACATCATGAGTCAGGGTGTTGACGAGTGCCTGCTGGCCTCCAGACTTCAGACATGTAAGCATGAAGCCTGTTGCCAATCTGTCCCTGTGGCCAGCATCTCTTCCCATTGGACGAGCAAATAGACTCCTCGCTCTCGCGAGTTTACGATAGGTTGAGCCTCGGCTGAGTGAGATCTTGCCCACAGAATGGTGAATGCTTTTATGTGCTCCCAAAGAGCTGCTCGCTCAGGAATGCCTACGCGACGAGGAGTGCTTGATATCTGGCTCTTGTTACACCCAGAAGAGGGCAGGTTTATGCATGGCCAGATCATATTCTACTTTCTACCAGGACCCCGCTGATGAAAGCTCCGCACTCGACGCCTGGAAATACTGACATCCAGATCCTACCCGAAGGTTCCATGGAAGCATTGTGAGTTTCGTGCGCACCTACCCGGCCGGTTGAATGCGTGCGCATGGATCACTCGCCACAACATGTCTGACCCTGGAACTCCTTTCCTAAGTTCATCAGGCTTTCGATGGCGGGGTTGAGCTGCGGGCTGTCAAGACCGCTGAAAAAGCTGGAGCATTGTGTAACCTTCGAGTGACCTTCGTCCCCTTGCCATTGCCGCTGTGCAGAAACAGGGCATGCAGGGGGCTGAGAACAAGCTTCAGTGGCGTGAGCTTCGTAGCCATTGGCTGACAAGTTGACCATGCTAATGGCGGACAGGTTTTTGAGAGACAACATGTCATTGTGACTGGATTATGCTGGAAGCTCACAAACGGAGCCTAGCACTACAACTTGCCGCAACACTGCACGATATTGCACTGGACGCGAACTGATATGGATGGGTGCGCTGCTGCATTGACCTTGCATGGCCAGAGTCTCGGACTGGGCCCTGCTTTAGTCTCTTAAGCCCTAAACCCAGACAAGGCGGTCGTCCTGGTTTGTCCATAGTCGCAAGTCAGGCTCGTGAGACCCGCCCGTCAGATTTGCGCAAGGGGCAAGTCGGATCGGGATGCCAGAACGACCGGTCAGCTCAGTGACAGACAACGGTCTCAACAACACCAGTCTCAGCTGCCAAAGGAAGAACGAAGATCCTGGATGGGGTGGTTCTTTGGACAAATTATATTGTGCCAAAGCCCACTCCGCCCGTTTGCGTTTTCAAGACAAGCGCTCTGACCCAAAAACACGTACCCCGCCTTGCAGCTTCAGCTGGGAAGGAGCAGAAGGGAAACTCTTGTCAAACTGTCCAGGCCCAGCCATTTCATCACAGTCTCTCAGTCCATGCTGAGACCCACTCCGGTTTTAAAAAAGTTCTTCTCATTGGCAGACCAGCGAATACCATTTGTTCCACGAGTTCACTGCGCCCTCAGGCTCCTGCGGGAGGTTCCAGCGTTGGCAGCGAGGCCAGATGCACGCTGAAGGTAGACTCTTCGCTCCCCTCAGAAGTCAGATACCGCGCCGCACAAGAATAGCGAGGGGTCGCAGCGTTTGATTTACGCAACACCTGATTCCAAGACTGGTGCTTGCAGAGGTGTGCCCTGTTCGAGTTGTTGCTCGTTTTCGACCTCCAGTCTCTGAAGAAGAACGGCAAGAGGAGTCGTCTGCCGAACGCCGGCATCCCCTACCATACTGACTCTCTTCCCTCGCGAGGAGAGCCCAGCTTTCACTGTGGATGCTGAAGGTGTTGGGACCCCACGGGATCTAAGCACTTGTGAACCAATGTGCTCGCATTGGCTTGGGTGTGTGCATGGCCGCGCTCAAAGGTCGTCGAATCCGCCGACCACTTGCATCACTGGCTCGGTTTTGTCACGTTGATTGATTTTCAGACTTTTACGCCTTTCCTGCATTCGTAGATACATTCTGTGCAACAAATCTGCTTGTGGGCGGAGGCATTGCTTCCGATTGGACAGCGCGTTCGGTCAGAAGCTTACAACGACAGCCCAGAGGGTCGCAGACAGGTTGGTTGCACATCTCCTTTCCCATTAGGGCAGTGGCTTCCACGCTGGATTTTAAGCCAGTGTTGGAGATTGTCTTTCCATGTTTGCAACCTGGCACCCGAGGTCAGGAAACAAGTCAGCAGCAAGTGTACGAAGATGTGGGTCGCTGTCGCAGAGTCTACTCTCCCGAGGCATGGCTGCACATTCAAGCACCTTGAGATCAGGTCGACGTGTGGTGCAGGATGTGCTGCGAGCTTCTCAGTGGTTTGCAAGCCTGCTGTGATCTGCGGAGGCAGCTGGGGGAAGCTGTGGTGTGGGCCTGGTCCCTAAGGTCCGGATACAACGGCACGATCCTAGCCTATGGACCGACAGGCTCTGGCAAGTGGAATGCTTAGAGGCTTAGAGAAATATCTCAGCTCTGTGCAATTATCTGCCACGTCGGTCGACATTCCGGAGCCTTCGAATGTCCTCCGTGGAAAGAAGCTCTGCCATGGTTCGCTTGTCAAGGACCTTTTGTATGTTCGGGCCACCGCATGGACGAAGTCCTCCGGAGCTGGAAGGCCTTTGGCCAAGTTGACTTCGCAGCAGAAGTGAGGTAAGAGCTGTAAGAACCTTTTTTAGCATTGTCATGAGGTCTGGTACCTCGAGCTGTGGAGCAGGCCTGTGTCGTCCGCGTCGCCCTTGCACCATTGCTTTGAGCTTTTGCATCGAGGTCTTGCAGCACGTCCAACAATGCGGAGGCTGTTTTTTGCTGCTTCCGTATCCTTCCCATCCCACCGCTTCTGCCGCCTCTGCTTGTCTTTCCACCTCCTCGGGGGATATGTGTGGGAGAGGGAAAGGTGTGTGGGAGAGCTGTGGGAAACACGCAGGCACCACCAAGCTGCAGTGCAGCTTCTTCGAAGCCTGACGCCTTGTCTTGCTGTGAGAGTTTTCATCATTCTCAGACGTCACCATACCTTCACTTCTGTGCGGACAGGTGTATTTGGAGAGGGTGCGAGACTTCCTTAGCCCAAAGACACCCAACCCGCAGTTGAAGGACTCCTCAGCCGGGCAAGCTTTCACAACAATGGAGTGAGCTTCAACGTCCAATGTGTGGGTTGACAAGGAGCTTCCCGGTGGAGTCGAAGGTCTGACTTACAAGGAGGTCACGGTGCCCGGCCTAACGAGTCTAACAGGGCACAAATGTGCCTGGCTTGTCCCTGTCAGATTTCCACCGCCGCCGAAGCGTTGCAGATTTTGCGACAGGGGCCCCCATCCCAGTCGCGACGATGCTCTGCATGCTGTGGTGGGGCTCATGTCTGTGACTGGTCTGAGCCGTGGCAAGGTGGCTAGAGTGGGGAACATACACGTTGCAAGGAGTTGTACATGGTCTTGAGGAAGGTGTCAATCGAATCTGTTTCAGTCTAGCAGTGCACTTTAAAGGCATGCTGGGACCTCGCCATTCCGTTCGCTCGTGCTAACTACACAGGTACTTGTCGTAGGCAGCCCTGTCTAATGCTGTCTAGTTCTCAGTGCCATCAAGGTCTGCAGTCACCACATGGCAGTAATCCTGACAACCGCATAAACGTGTCATCCGATGTGCGCAGAGATGTTTTTGCCTCGTCTAACGTGTTGCTGACATCTCTGCAGCTTTCAGGTTGAGGCTCAGAGTGGCCGCCAACACCAGCCTGAATGAGCACTCGCAGCGAACCCGACACCGCCTGTACCGTCTCTGTGTGGCTTGCCGTTTGGCTTTCAAGGTCTCGTTCTCATGCAATCTTCTCCTTACTTCTGCCGCAACCCTAGCCCTGTCACAGCAGCAGTGGATCCTGAGGCTGCTCAGGCTGCTCCTTGCTTCGTGTGCTTGCCTACACAGCCATGTGTGCAAGTGGCGAGCCCCACCAAGGCGACAGCCGCAGAAGGGTGGAATTCGAACGTGCCGCCCCTTTGCCTCTGAGGAAGACATGGCAAGCCATCACTGCCGCTCGTCTTTTCTTGCTTGGCCAGGTGCAAGCTGACCCTAGTTGATCTTGCTGGATCGGAAAAGGCATTCGCTGTGTGCGCGGCGCTGGCTGTCTGCGGGGTTTGCGTCATTGCAATTGGCAGGTCCGCAAAAGTGGTTCTGTGGGCGCCTGGACCTCAAAGATGCCAGAGATGATCGCAGCATAATATCGCAACATATCGCAGCCGCCGCAAGTTGCAGGGCAATGTGTTGCAATTGTCTGCTCTCGAAGGGCATGCTGGAGGAAGCGAAGAAAATCAATTCGTCCTTGAGCGCGCTTGTGACCAAGACTTGCTTTCTGAATTCAGTGCCGTTCAGTGCGTCATGCCTCGTTGCTCTATGGTTCTATGATTCATGCCACTCGGTTTCGTGTTGCTCGGAACGACATGACGTGAGGCTCGGTCACGTGATTGAAGCACTCTCAGAGCGGAGACCGTGAGAGCCTCGCACAGGGTGGTTGGGAGCTGGTTCGAACACACAATATCGCTGGTTGCATTCGCGTGCGTCTGATGTTCGCAGTTGGGCAAGGCATGTACCCTACCGAGACTCTCGCCTCACACGCTTGCTGGAAGAGTCACTGGGTCGAGAGCTCAGCGTCTTTGGGGCATGCTTCTAGTGATTCTAGTGAGTGACTTATATGCAACGGTGCAAGGTGGTAATTGCCGGACGACTCTCTTGGTGGCTTGTTCGCCTGCCCCTTTGCCATCCTTTGCGTCCAAACTGGATGTTGGTGAAGAGAGGACTTTGTCAGAAGATGCCCCCAGGTCCAGCAGCATCCATGCCTCGGAGACCTTGTCTTCACTGCGGTTCGCCGTTCGTGCAAGAAAGGTTGAAAACAGTGCCTGAAGCTCACCGTGCCTTTTTTTGTGTGTGCTTTGCGCATTGGTGCAGCCGCAGCCGGCGGCGTCTGCTCAGGTTGGTGTGACAGTCTGCAATTCCCAGTCGAAGCAAGCTTCCGACAGGCATCTGATACCATGTGTCACTGCTGACACGGGTGTTTGTGCAAAGAGAGGCTATGGGCTATGGGCATGCCAGGCAGCTTGAGAGGAGAATCGCGCAGCTTCGACGAGAGCTTGCCCAATCCTCGGGCGCTCGGCACTGGCCGTCCAGAAGCTGTCTTTTCCAACCTTGCTGGCTTCGGTGGCGGCGATGAGAGATGTTTGTTCTGTTTGCCAATCGCGATCAGTCTTTAGTAAAGCTGCGTGACCGACTCCAACAGTCCTCTGGCCCATCGGCTTCATGATGGTCTCATGACGTGGGTGGGAGTCGCCGAAAGTATCCAATTCTGGGTGCAGCAACCGTGATTGATCGTGATTGTGTTGGGGGGTTTTCGTGAGGCACACCCGGCACGCTCCTAAAACGAGGGGTTCTCTGCGCTATCATCGGCCATGACTGGGAGTCGGCCGGAGGCTTCACAGGCATTCGCTGCCTTAAAGGAAAGGTGCAATGTGAGTTGCACAATGTGGCTTGGACACTGCTCATCATCATTGTCAGGTTCATGGACGTCGTGACATCACTAGAACGAACTCCGTTCGCAGAGGAATGTTTCGCAAGGCAGTATTTTTCAGTCATAGAGGAGAAGCCAGTTCCCGAACCTTCAGGTCATCGAACTGATAAATTTTCCACCACAGATTCAACGGTCGAGTTTAGTGGAAATCCACAAGCGCGAAGCAAAGTCTGATCGATGTTCTATATACCCGCATGAAGCTGGTCGAGTTTTACTCTGCACCAAGTCGAGAACTTGGAACTCTGCACATAGCACGTTGCTTCTGTGGAGTGAAAGTTGTTACTTCTTGCGCAAGGCCAGACTGGAAAGTCGCAGAGCCGTGTGATGCCCCAGTCAAGATCCGAACAGAAAGGCAAAATGCCGTAGATCTCATCATGTGATGCTAAGCAAGGCCACTCGCTCCCCATCAGCAGACAGGCGTCGATCGTCAAGGTCCAGTCATGTACTAGCTTAGTAGGCATGTTGTTGGTGGCAATGGCCACGCGAGCCTTCTCAAGCTGCTGCTACTGAAGAACAGGTCCAGCATAGCAAAATCTATGTCGACATCCTCACTGAGTCCCGAGAGTCAGTGGCTCAAATCGCGATCGAAAGACATTGGCTTCCCCTTGAACCAGGGACTCTCTTAGCCAAGGTTGCGGCAAGATGCCCGCGGTGCGGTCCTTCGCGAAGGTTTGTGGAGTGGAAAGTGGCCTTCGGCTCGCCACCAAGGTGCCTCTTGCGAAGGAGAAGAAGACCTCCTTGGCTTCCTTGGCTTGGTTAGGGCGGCTGCTCATGAAACTCTGAGCCAACAACATTGTGATGTGTGATGCAGCCAGGAGCAAAACCGCTTGGGCAGCTCCTTTGAATCTTGATGTTACTTAGATATTGAAGCATCCCATACTCTTGCTTCCAAGTTTTCCTGCCGTAACGCTTGCCAAGGAAGTGCCGGAGGCACTGCCAGTGAGCAACAGCGTCAGAAGCCGAAAGTGCCACAGAAATTTTTCAGCCAAGCGGTGGTCCCCACTCTGCATTTGAGGTTACGTTGCTCGGCAGCTGCAGGAGCACCGTTGATCCAGGCAACGGCACCAAGTTAAAAAGTGAAAGCCCGTAAGAAGCGGCGGGCCAGGATCAGGCGTCTCATCCACTTGCTCAGTGGCTGCAGTCTCACTGACAGGCCAGGTGTGCTGATGAGTGACAAGAGTGTTTTGTGGTGATGGACAGGAAATCAATTTTTCGGGTCTCGTTGAGGTACATACCCCGCTTGTCAGGATCAATGTTGATATGCTGTAACAGAAGCCTGTGTAGTCAGAGTTCCCAGCATAAGTACTCGAATGTTTAGAAGTTTGGGGAGAGTTCCTGGATGTTGCTGGGTGACAGGGCTGTCTTGGATGCACTGGCATCATCGCAGGCTCTGCCGCTGGCACTCCGCCTGGTGCTCGGCAACAGAATCAGAAGTTGCCAGCCATGATCGCGGCATTGGGTTGCTACCGCAAGCCTGAGGCTTTCGCGTGATCGTGATGTCCCGAGAGAGGAATCTCCGTGTCCGCCACCCACTCGCCAGTTTCTCAGAAAAAACAACAGTGTCAGAATTTGCCTCAGCATCGCAACAAGGCAAGATTGTTTTATCGGAAGAATGAAATACATTGATGCATATGCCCATATCTCCTTGCCTCATTCAGTGCGGCATGAGACTTGCAGACTTGGTCGGTGAAGTGCAGGTGGCAGCTACAGTTTTCTCATTGAGGCCAGTCGATTTGCAATGTCAGAGTATAGAAAGGCGGACATCCCGCATGTGCTTGTATGCCACGGTTTCAGCGCTGCACTGTTTGACGAGCATGATTCATAGAGACAGGCGACACCTTTGGCTGACATGCCTATGACGCTGAAAGGGTGGAGCATAGGCCAGAACGGCACTCAGAGACTCAGATTTCCATGCGAGTGTGTGGCGACGTCACAAGAGAGGGAAGCCGCGCAGAAAGGTGAGCCAAGACTGTGGCTCCAAAGTTTCTCAGGTCGTCGGTGCAAGTTCTCTGTGGAGATTCGGTTCTCGAGGCACGCTCTAAGTCTGCCTCCAGTGAGTCTGCAACTCCAAATCGCGTATCAGTTGCGCTGCAGCCGATGACCCGATACGCCGCTTAGCCAATAAGAAAGCTGGTATAATTCGCCGAGAATTGCCGACACATGGGAAGAGACGCCGGGCTTCTGGCGCCGCCTCCGGGGGTTCGGGTGGAACGATTTTCTGGCCTGTTTGATTTTGCCGTTTGTGGCTCCGGGGGATGTGCGCGACATTCATCTGGTGTGCCAACATGTCACGAAAGCTAGCCCGTGGGAGCTAGCCGACTTTCTTACCAACCGTAAGGTTGAACAACAGGGCTATGGGGATGGAAAATAATGGGGTGTGTGCAAGTTGGGGCTAATCCCCACTGGGATTCGGTGGCCAAGGTCCTGAACGGTACCTTGTCAGCCCGCAAATTGATGCTTAGCCTTCGGGGCGCTTGGGCTATGCACCACTGTGGCTCACGGTCAAAAATCTGCTGTGAAATATTTCTTCAAGGCAGCGTTGAAACCATGTTACTACATCTCCAAGTGCAGCATTGAAGCCACATACGCAACATGCTAAAAGCATCGTGCACAAAAGGAGGTGCAGCCAGAAACCATATCTCCACTTCACGGCTCCATGTCGGTGCGCATGCGCTCAACCTCTTCAGACCCTCATGCTCCGCCATGCATCGTCTGAGAGGTCTTTGGGGATATTCTGGGTTGCGCTCCAGGGGCTTCTCTGGGGGATTTTTTTGGGGATCTGGGGTTTGGCGCTCCAGGGGCCTCTGAGGTTGCAGGGACTGTCCGGCTGTGCTGCAAGGTTTTGTGGGATGTTCTTTCGCTTGGGCTGGGGGGGTTGGGCAATCCAGAAGTTCTCTGAAAAAACACTCGGGCTGGGCACTCCAGGAATCTGTATGGGGATACTCTGGGTCCAGGGACTGTCTGAGGTTGGCACTCGACGGATTTTTTGGGGGTGCACTGCGTTGCACGCCGATTGCTGGGCGCTCCAGGGGTTCTCTGGAGGGGGATTCTCCGACGATGTGGGTTGGGATACGGGTGATGGGCAAGGAGTAGACCGGCCGCGCACTGGGTAGTCAACTGCAAGTCTCACACTTGCCTGTTCGGTCAGTGTTGTTCTCCTGTGGCTTCTCGAGCAACTGCGCTAGCTTTCGTTCCTGCCGTGCCCCACAAGTTGCATATGAGCAGACCTGCATTGTGGGTCCGATCCTGGCCCCAGGCGGGTGAAGATCGGCTTGATGGGCGTGGTACGAAGGCCAGCCGGGTAGTCATGGCGTGGAGCGTTTCTTGCACTGCGGTTCTCGTAGGCGAAGCCCACGGAGTTCCAGGGCGTTTGCCTCAGTGGAGGGTAATTCTTGATGGGGTCTCTTGTGTGCGAACTCCTGCGGACTTGCATGAAACGTCGGTGACGGGACTGTGATGGGTGTGACATCTTTGCATCGCTGCAACCATTGGGTGACTAGCTTGAAGAGCTGCTCGACGAGTAGGACTGTGTCGTGTGCCCCGGGCCTTTGTGTCAAGGCCGTCCGATGGATGCAGAACTCTCTGGCCGTTGCCGAGATCTAGAAAGGCAACTCGATGCCGAACGGAGGCAGCATGCGCTCGAGCCACTTGGCCGCAGTAACGACAAGTCTTACCTCCGGCTTCGGCTATTTTTTATGAGTAGCATGTTTGGGGAGCCGACATGTTTAGACTTGACTCCGGACGCGCTCTTTCATGGTATGCGCAGTCCTTTGAAGTGCTTCGATTGAGTCTTGAGCAAAGAATCACCTGAGATGGTGACCCTGGGTGGCCCAGCATTCTCCTGATGCCGCCGATCTATGCCGATCTTATCTTGAGTAAGTTGCCCCTAGCCCCGGCATGTCGTTAGAGTAACATCCCCATCGCAAATCTATGCGCTTGGATTGCGCAAATGGTGTGCTAGGCGAATAGATGCCCGTGTAGCGCAGAAGTCTTAGGTTGGAAAGTCTTCAGCGGCAGCATGCAGAGGACACACGAGCTTTCTGTGCAGGGCGGATTCTGTTTCAACGTCTTGCATGGGCAGCTCAACACATCGCAGGGGCTTCAGACTTCGCCAATGAGAAGCACAGCCTTTGCCTTATACAACAATGCCAAGGGCACCTAGGCGAGATGCAAAGGCGTTGCGAGGCGAGTCCGGCGACTGTCTCGTGGCTTGCGTGCGTTGACCACATATTTCTGACACACACACACACCACACAGAAACACGCGCATGTGATATCACGCGAAGCTGAATGCCAAGGCCCCCGGGGCTTCACGTTTGGCCGCATTGGCCAAGACTGTCCCAAGCTCTGCAGGCGATTGGCTACCCCCAATGCAGTGAGCCGAAAGGACATCTCTGCTCCCTAATGCCGCAATATCTTAAATGCTTGCGAGCGCCTCCGCAGACGGGGTTCCTGCGGCCCCTGCGACATGTGAGCTTATGTGAGGGTTGGGCTCCGTGGCGCATCTCAACCAAAGTGCCATGAACCCTGTTTAAAGGGTCGACCCTACTAGCTGCTTGATCAACCTGAGAAGATCGCACTCAGCAGGCGCAGCCCAAACATTGAGCAATATGTCTCCGCAATGAAATACTATCACTTTCGGTTTCTTCAACATCGAAGGCTTCGATTGCATTTATTGAAACAACTCCCAAAGTCCCAGCTGCTTGCTTGCCCGAAGTTTCAGGGGGTCCGAGGAGGGTTCCGCAAGCCCAAAGCCATTCTATTTTTCGGCTTTGGCTCTACCAAGAGAACTTGGCAATGTCAGGGATGGGTGGGCGGTTGGGATGTGGGGAATGGTTGGGAAAGGGGGAAGGGTACCAGATCCGGGTCAAACGCCTGTCGGCCGGAGGCCGGGCCGAATTGCGCACCGACCTTTTTCAGCGCAAGACCTTTTCGTTAGCGCACACAAGCCAAGCTTCGGCGGCATGGCAGGCTTGAGCGGCGGGAGCGTTTCCAGGACCCTGCAAGCGTGCGCAATCCGACTGGTTTTCAACATGGATGTAGCCACTTGCGCCAGTGATCCATTGCGAGGACTCGAAGCTCGGAAGGGGCAAAGCCCGCGATGAATCACGAAGCCCAGCCCTGTGCGAGCATATTCGTAGTGCCAGATGTCACCTGATTGGCTTGCTTTGGCAGATCTGTGCATTCTGGCTGTAGGCTTGGCCAGCCGCCTTTGCGCATGCTGTTCCATCGGCGGGCACAGCCTGCTTTGCACCGGCAGCTTCCTTGGAATGTGGGTGTTCTATGATGTTCCAAGTTGAAGCCCAAGCCGGTGAAGTTGAAGAGCTGCGCGGAACTGCCGAGGTGATTTGCCCGTTTGACCCTGAGCTTATGATGCTGTTCAGATGGCAGTTGGGTTTTTGTTGCGGAGATTGCACAGGATAGTTATGAATGCTTCTCTTCTCACACGTGGCCACTTCCCCAGGCAGACTTCAGGTCGCACTCCAAAAGCCTCTCCTGTTCTGAGCCAGGACAGAGTGCCCGTAGGAGAGCTCTTAAAGGGGCTTGAGCATGACCTTGTGGATCTTCTTTTTGACTTGGCCAGTATCTCTGCAGCTCTCCGGGTCCGCAGATGATGCCTTCAGTGCTCGGCCAGCTGGATGCGCGGCCCTCGCGACTGCTGCTCACAAAAGCGCATTGTCAGAAACAACAGATGACGGATGTTTCAGGATAATGAGTGCTCTGATGCTTGTTCATAACGTGTAACATCGTGTAAAGAACTGCTTGTATTTTTGCAAGTGCAGCTGCATTCCCTGAATGATGGTGACGGTTTGGATCCACTGGAACTCGCTCGAGCATGTGCCACTGTGAGGCCTCTTTGCCGGAGCGACCAAGTCCGCATCTCAAGCAAGGGCAGCTTCTTCGAACCTTCCTCCAGGTGCTGGTTTAAAAGGCTGATGCAACTTGACAAAGCCAGAGGTAGTGTGCCCTCGGCACCGCTCAGGTTCTGGCAGTCGCTTGCTGATGGCCTCGGTCAGCGCCCACAGAGACTTGCTTGTCCTTCGTTGTCCTTCCTTCCGCACACTGTCATGATTTTGTGTGCCCGAGGCAGCACGCGGGAGCTGGCGCATCGCAGGCCTCAGTCAGATGCCCTTTTGTAGAACAAAGCATCAATCAGTTGGCTGCGCATCAGTGGCTGCGCTCGGCTGAGCTTGAAAAACTGGAAGGCAAGAGCTGCTCACCTCGGCAAACGTCAGCTACCTAGATGTTTGGATGGTAGCAGGCCCTGCGCTGGTGTAGAATTCAAGCTTACGGCATCTGCTGACAAATGCCAAGTCGGTATATCGTGTGTCCGACTGGCACATGACCCCCTATCTGTCACTGTGTTTCATTTTCTGCACCTACGCAGCCTCCCTGATGCAATGTTTTGTTGCCTTAGGCTTTCTCGTAGCCCGACGCCACGCCGTCAAGCTCTGCTGGGAGAAGCTTCGCCAATCTGCACTTCAGAGGCAGCGTGTCTTTCGAAATATTTTCGATTGTCTCGGCTGATGTTGAAAGAGCTTGGCACGCTTAAGAGGTACTGCGGCTACACCGTTGACGATCCGTTGCAAATAGATGACTTTTTGGTGCCCTTGACCCTTTGGAGAAAGGGGTCTGGCCGGCAAATGCAGGTCAACATGCACGTGTGTACAGGCGAGGTAGCGATTCACCCTCATGACGGCATTTCTTGCCGGAATTAATGAATTTCGAACACTAGAAGGCTTCAGGAATACAAACCTTTGAATATGAGAAATCTTGATGATACTCTATTTTTTCTTTTCGTATCGATGGGTATTTTTTCTAAAAATCTTCTTCGCTCTGGGACACAGGACTACTCTAAAACAATGAGATTCTCTGTGCTTCGTTACTGGCT